GAGGAGATGGAGGAGGAGGGAGAGGAGGAGGAGGGAGAGGAGGAGGAGGAGGAGAATAGATGAGAGGGGAGGGGAAGGGAGGAGAGAGGGGAGGGTTAGGGTTAGGGAGGAGGAGGGAAGAGGAGAGAAGGGAGGGGAGAGGGGAGAGCAAGAAGAGGCAGGAAGAGGAGGAGGAGAAAGAAAGAAAATGTCTTCACCCAGCTGTAGGGGTAATAAATGCAGGTGTGGTGACTGCCTAGGCTATCTCAGGCAGCCTAGACTGGTTTGATTCACGAACACAAGTGTGCAAGTTCATACAGACAAAAGCACACACGTGTGCACTGCATGCTGAAAGCAATCCCACCCACCCTCTTGAGATTCAGTTTCCTCTGAGAACTCTCACACAGACCCTACTCCAGCCACCACTTTGTTGGTTCTCTCAAGAACCTAAGAAGGAATTAAATTCTTCAGGAAGGAAAAGCTGTTGATATAATCTTCTTCAAGAACTCTGCTCTTCAGGCCTTCGGGTATGCCTGCGATGAGATGCAGTAGACTTATGTAAGTGGTGAAGCCAGAGCATGGACCAAGGCCGTGTCTTTGCAGTCACATTTCTAAGATCCTAACTTCAGCTCTGCTACAATAGCTCAGAGATGTTGGTATCCCTTGCCTAAAACATAATTAATGATCTTATAAACCTATATCTACTCTTCCACTTCTGGGCTCCTGTCACTGTGAGAAAATTAAGTTAGTGTCACAATCCTGTGAGAGAAAGGAACAAATCTGGGACTGCATATTCCAGCTGGCTCCTCAGGCCCCTGGTGGGTGCACCTAACTGTGCACTCATGGGGCACCTTCCCAGCTAAGAGAGGAACGCTTCGCTGGGATTCTTAGATCCATTCTCCTAAGCCAGGGGTGGTGAACCTTCTAGAGCTTTTAATGATACAAACAGCCTGCTGTGACACATGTGCCACAGGCTCATCACCACCATCCTGAGATGCTAGAGGTCTAGAACATGGCCAAGAAGTCCCCTGGGCCAATCCTCCAAAAACTGGGGGATAATAACAGTAGTTATTAAGGTTTTTACATGCTAATCATGGTCTCTATGTATAGATTTTTTCATATTTGGTTTTCATAATAATTATAAAATTTTGGTATTGTGGTGTTCCCATTTTACATATTATGCAGCCGAGGGACAGAGAGATTGAGTAACTTGCCTACAGTCACATAGCCAAGTTCACGATGAGGCCAGAACATGGACCAAGGCAGTGTGACATGCACATTGCCTCCCTCTGCTTTGCTTTCCAAGAGAAGACAGTGCACAGGGGCTTCTGTTCAGCCCCTTGGGAGAAAGACAAACTTTTGAGCAATATACTACCTATCAGGAGGTTGGGGTAGACAAGGGGGGTCCTAGAGCCTGAAATGAATGAAAGGTAGTCCTGACAACATCTAGTTCCTGGAGATGGAGGAATTCTGATAGCTGTGTGTGTGTCTGTGCCTGTGTCTGCGTGTATTTCCACATCTGTGACCCACAGCCCGGGACGTGGTGGCCAAGTTAGCTGAGGACAAGGTCTCTGACCTGAACGATTTCCAATGGATTTCACAACTGCGCTACTACTGGGAGGCAAATGATGTACATGTACAGATGATCACCACGGAAGCCTTGTATGGGTACGAGTACCTGGGAAACTCCCCACGGCTGGTGATCACGCCCCTCACTGACCGCTGCTACAGGTAAACGCTGGGGCTCCCACACTTGAGGGGTGGATGGAGACCTGCAGAAGGAAAAGATTCAGGGAAGGAAAGCTTTTGCTGTCTCGGGCCAATTGTCCTCTACATTTCAGACTCAGATGCAGTTTCAGATTTTGCCTTTAGTCACCATAGTTCCAGAGATGGACATGGAAACTAGGCCGTCAGGCTAGAAATGAGAACCTGGTAGCAGTCCTAGGGCAGGTACTAGCGCGTGATGTGGCACTTAATTACAGACTTCTCCAGTGGCAGGAAGCAGCATGGTGCCTGAAGGCCCACTGGCCAAGAAATAGACCAGGCGGCCAAGGACACTGGTGAAGGGTCTCTAAGCTCTGACCCAATCTCATGGAGGGAGATGACCATTCTGCATTCAGCAAAGCACTGGGCCACTTTTCTTACAATTCCTTACATTGGAAACCTATATTCTATGAACTTGTTTATGCTGTAAAATTCAGATTTGCTCTGATCTTATGTTATAAAAAAAAAACCTAAGAATATTTTCTCCTTTCAATATCTTTGATCATTGGTTTCCTAGTTCCATCATTTCTATTTATTCTAGTCATTATTAATTTCTTTTTCAAAATAAATTGCATTGCATTAAGTATATTTACTGTATTCAACATTGACAGTAAGGCTACATGTAAAGTAAAATTAATAGAGTGGAAGAAGTTAGCCAGCCCATCACTTCACATCACTGTGCATTCCCCACCTGGCGGCAACAGCAGCTATATGCCGTCTTTTAGTCAAAATTACAAATACATACATAATACCTCTTATTAGTCACAATCCTAATGGATAACTATTGGTTAAACTTCCCTGTGCACCATACCAAATATCCAGGGCCGTTAAATCTAATTAGACACATTTATAACATGTGTAGATAGTGCACTAGCTGAAATTATAGCAAAGGCCTGGATCCAGCTATGTGCCAGCATCACGCATCTCTGAGACTTATCCTGTGCCTGCCACATGCCAGGCACCACACTCAGTCGCTAGGATTATGGAATTGAATCAAATATGGCTCCTGAACTCAAGAGGTTATAACTGGGTGGGAGAAATATATTTATTTTTACTATTGCTTCAGCACTGGTAACCTTTGGAATGTGGTGTTCATAAGTATTTCCATGTTTATTTGATTCATTTATGTATGTATATGTGCTTTTATTCTTTCAGTCATTGAAAAAAGTCAGATATTTATGGTGATTCCTATGTATCAGGCACTGCTGTGTCAGGCTGTTAGTTTAAAATGCTGTGTAGGGCCAGCCAGATAGCTCAGTGATTAAAGTGCCCGCTTAGGCAGATGCAGGGACCTGGGTTCTATCCCCTGTGTACTGTGCCAGCCCCACCCCGGGGCATGCTGAGACGGAGACTGGGACTGGGCATGGTTGCACGCGCCTGTAGTCCCAGCACTCGAGAGGCTGAAACAGAAGGATCACTAGGAGTCTGATCTGTGTAGTGAGACTCTGTAGGCCCTGTATTAAATACATAAAATGCTGTGTAAAACATAATTTTTTTTTCAGTGATGATGTATTTATTGGTCATACTCAGGGGAAAATTTTATAAACTGTTTGCATGAATCAAAATCAGCAGAAAGCCCATTTCTTTTCTGCATCTTAGGACTCAGGCCCTGAGTCCCTACTGTCTTCCCCTTAGGACACTGATGGGTGCTTTGAAGCTGAACCTTGGAGGAGCTCCAGAGGGTCCAGCTGGAACAGGCAAGACAGAAACTACCAAAGATCTGGCCAAAGCTTTGGCCAAGCAGGTGAGGAATCATTGCTACCTTCCCCTTCCACACTCTTTGGTCTGGCTGGTCAGGAAATTGAGTGTGAATGTCAGGATGATTACTGAAACAGGAGTGGGGCCTCTGCCTATCCAGTATTAGAAGAGAGGCACTCTGTCCCTGTGCAGTGGCGCTGGGTGACTCAAAGGTGATGGAGTCCATCCTGAATAGTGCCCATGCCTCCTTTCTTTCTAGTGTGTGGTCTTCAACTGCTCAGATGGTTTGGATTACAAAGCCATGGGGAAGTTCTTCAAGGGACTGGCTCAGGCTGGAGCCTGGGCCTGTTTTGATGAGTTCAACCGCATTGAGGTAACTGCTTCTTAATTGCAGAACAGAAGGGTTGGACAAGCGGTCACCTTTTTCTGGCCTCTCAGCTCCTTAATGACGGGGCCTATGTCTCTTCTTTAGTCCCTACACAGAGTAGGTACTTAAAGAACTAAACATGAGCATCTATCCACAAGGAGTCAGATTACATATTTTATAAGTAAAGCTCAACCTCCCAATCACATTAAATTATTCTCTGACTTATTCAAAAATGCATTCAGAAGCAACTGTACATTAGTGACTGCATCTGTTTGTGATACAAAGATGAGTAAGAAGTGACCTTGCCCTATAGATTGCCCCAATCTAATAAAAGGAATAAAGTTTAAGTGAAACAAATAGAACATAAGAGAAGTCTATAGTAGTGCTGCAAAGGACACATCACAGAAGGGTGAGTGATTAATTCTGTTTGGGTAAAGTGTGGAGATCAATAAATGTAAGCATGATGTTTGATCCAATAAACACTGAATACCTTTTATATGCCAAATACTCTGCTCAGTGTTGAAACAAATATTCCATGTACTATAAATACACACATACACACACCAATTTTCCTTTGCTTTGTCAAAAACTCATGTTCTTACTTTTAAGCATGGAGGTCTGGATTCTCAGGTGACTGGGCTATCTCTGCTGAGCAAAGAGAGCCTGGCAGAGCTCATGCCCGCTGGGCTTCTCACCGTAGGTAGAGGTGCTCTCCGTGGTAGCCCAGCAGATACTCAGTATTCAGCAAGCCATTATCCGGAAGCTGAAGACCTTCATCTTCGAAGGCACAGAGCTCTCTCTGAACCCGACCTGTGCTGTCTTCATCACCATGAACCCTGGCTATGCTGGCAGGGCCGAGCTTCCAGACAACCTCAAGGTAAAAGAGTACGTATATGTATGAGGCCTAGTGTACTTGGTAATAGAGAAACGTTCGGAAGTTTCTACCTAAAGGTCTCATGGAGAATCCCAAAAGTAGGAACAGGTGGCATATTTCTATCTGTGAAAAGTGATAGTGAAGTACCAATGGTAGAAAGTTAGTATTTGGTTCAGAACACAGCCACTTTCCCCAAAAGGTCTCATGGAGGAGGGGTTCATGCATCATGGCTGATGGCAAACAGAAAACAATGAACCCCAAAGAAGGGTTCAATAGGCAACATGAACCAGAAAAGCACACTAGGCATAGTAGGGCTTTTCTACCATGGGGCATTTAGAGGGAGCAGTCATTTCTTAGCTCCAGCCTACTATTGCTAAGCAGGAATCACAGATAGTCTCACTTTTCCAGGAGAAGCACAAAATTTTGATTATTACATTAAAACTGATTTTTAGATCCTGGCTCAATTTTTAGAAGTTACTATAGCACAAAGTAGATCTACATACAAGAAAGCATCAAACTTCACTACAGAGAACTCTGGCAAACAGGCTGGACCACCAAGAGCTCCCTGCTGATTGTGAAGCTGCCTAGCCCTAAGTAGTTTCCAAACAAAACAGACTGTTCCAACCACTGGAGAGATAGCAAGGGCGCATATTTGTCTCCAGTGCCTATTGCAAAACTGCTCTTAGCTACAGTCCAGGCAGTAGGCACTGGCCCTACTGCTAGTAGAAGGAAAATGTCTCTAAAGAAGAAGAAAGAGAGGGCCAGTCAGGCCCCAGAGGATGGCTCTGGCTGACTTTGCCATGTTGCTTTCCTGAAAGGCAAAAATATAAAGGACATAAGATGGGTAGGTCTCCTCCTATGGAGAACACACTATACACACACCCAGGTGCATGAAAAGAGTGACCAGAGACAGACTTCTAGACCTGTTTCCCCATTGACTTTCTCCTCTCTTCTCTCTCTCTCTCTCTCTCTCTCTCTCTCTCTCTCTCTCTCTCTCTCTCTCTTTCTCTTGCAGTACTGGGGATCAAACCAGAGACCTTGCACTTGCCAGGAAGGCACTTATGCCACTGAGCTATTTCCCCAGCCCTTCCACTGACTTTATGGTAGCACATTGCCTTGCCCTCTTGGGTAAAGTGATGAGACAGCCACCTCCACTGACTTTGGCTCATGATACTCCATCTGCTACATATGTATTCTGATTACCCTGGAACCTTGTCTAATGAGGTCACTGTTCTTTCTAACAAGAGTCAGGAGATCCATCAAGTTCTCCTCCCCTCGAGGTCAACATAGAGCAGTGAGTGCTGAGGTAGAATTTGGTCAGATTAAGATCTGACTTGAGATTCTTTTGATGCATAATGGTCTTTTGTTGCTAATGACTTTTGATGTCTGTGTTGAATATTGGGATGCTCCAAAGGCGAATGAGAGGTCTTTATTTTGACACAGGAGAAGTAGCTACTGGAATACTGACATGTGAGGCTTTCCAGACAGCTGCCAAGAGACCTGCTACAGCAGCATGTACCTGAACAGGATCAGTGGGAAAGTTTTCTGTCTGTTAGAGCCAGTCCTGCTGCTGGTGCTCCTTTCCTGGATTGTCACTGGAGTGGCCACATGATCACACTGCTTTGCTTTGCCTCTGTAGATATGCTCCCCGTATCTCAAAGCTCAACATTCACTCTATGTGTTCACGTTGCGAATGTTTTCTTTCTAGGCCTTATTCCGGACAGTAGCCATGATGGTGCCAGACTATGCCCTCATTGGCGAGATCTCCCTCTATTCTATGGGGTTCCTGGACTCCAGAAGGTAGATCATATGATTTTCTAGTGAGTTCTAAAAGTGTTTGAAGAGTGGCTTTTTGTGTGTCAGATTCAAGGTGTATTGCCCATTAGAAGAAAAGAGAAAAACTTGAGAAACCTGCTTCCTACCACTGGATGGTCTGAGGAGAGTAACTGACTTTCCTGAGTAACCTCAATAATCCTGACTGCACTCCTAACTGGGACTGGCCCAGAGGCCCCAGAAAGGGCCTGTGTCCCATCTGGACTTCATTAAAGAAAATTACCACTCATGTCCTCCCTACCCCTCACTGTAGCACATCCACACCCTCGTTACTAAGTGGCTGAAGCAAAGACTGTAAAACATGACATTCTTTCAAAGATGGAAAGAAAAAAGTTAATATTATCAATTAATTTTAAAATTTAATTAAGTTGTTTTCAATATAACACTGACTGTAAGTCAACTGGGTTCTCATCTGAGTGTTACCCAGTTTTCCAATACACACACACCATTATCCTTATGTGTGTATGTGCACACACAACACATGTACTAAGAGTTGCGAGTAAAAGTCATTGAAACGACTTTTATGGATCTACTCCAAATTTACTTTTATTTTATATTGTCTTTGCCATAATCAATCAACAGAGTAGGAGGACCCAACAGATGTCTCCATGGGTGAGTAAGTGGATGTCTTGCTTGTCATTCAAAGGGCTGCAGAAATTCTCAGTAGAATGTATCAGATGCATTTCAGCTTATTATTTCTGTGGTAGGCCTGGATTACATTGGGTTGTCCATTCAATTCTTCTGTCTACTCAGTTTTTAAACCTTTGCTCAGACAGCTACAGAAAGCTTGACCCTATTTTGGTGTTGGTGAGCAACACAAAGTTTTGTTTTTAAAGTCAATGAGTTTTGTAAAACAGTCTCCCTAGCAGAAATACATATTAATACATTATTTAGAATAAGCCTAATGGGCCTGGCAGTGCACATTTGTAATCCCAGCACTCAGGATGCTGAGGCAGGAGGATCACTGTGAATCTGAGCCCATCTGGGCTACAAAGTGAGCTCAAGCCCAACCTGATCTGTATAGCAAGATTATGTCTCAAACACCAAAAATTTAATTAATTAATTAAAGTAAACCTGATCCCTATATCTCAATGGCTCAGCATGATGAGTTAATCTTTCACTTACTGGAAACCCAACGCAGACATTTATGATCAGAAGTGGCTCCCCTTCAAAGTACAATTCCAGGACACATAAGTGAAGGCTGAAAAGTGGGGCATGGCGAATCGTGTGGAGGAGGCTTCAGTGCCCCAGCCCCAGCCTTGGCGGTGTCACTGTCATTCCCATTCCACAGTCCACAAGGTGGCCTGTCTGCACTGCATGTGAGGCTTGGAAGTGTGGCCAGCTTGTGTCCAGGAAAAAGAGGAAATGGCCATGCACGTAAGTATATGCTTGTCATGTGCTGAGCATATCACATTTTGAGTTGGTTTTCTTAAAAAAGGAAAACAGACATTGATCAACTTGCAGTGTAACAGAGGTGAAAGAAGTGAATTTCCTTTCAGGAATGCTTAGCCACACTCTCCAGGGATTAGCACTCGTGGCACCTTGCTGGATCCTCTCCAGTGCACGTGTACATGCTTGTGGCACATCCATCGTCAGCACACGTGAGTGTGCAGAGCTAGTGCCCGCACGCAGTCTGGTCTACATGCATGTGTGCTTTTCAGTCCTAACTTTGAAAAATCGCTATGTTTCCCTAGCTTATTACGATGATTCTGTTATAAGACTTTCACATGATAGGGCCTGGCCATCAGGCCTGTGGGCAAGCCTGTCTTCCTGCAGACTCAGGGACAAGGCTCTGCAAACATGTCTTTGCCCTCCTCCCAGCCTTGCCCAGAAGATCGTGGCGACGTACCGCCTGTGCTCCGAGCAGCTCTCCTCCCAGCATCACTACGACTACGGCATGCGTGCTGTCAAGTCTGTGCTCACGGCTGCTGGCAACCTGAAGCTCAAGTACCCGCAGGAGAATGAGAGCGTCTTGCTGCTGCGGGCCTTGCTTGACGTCAACCTGGCCAAGTTCTTGGCTCAAGATGTCCCTCTGTTTGAGGTACCCAGTGGCTTGCCATCCTGGGCAAGGACGTGAGCTCAGCTGGGAAGATAAAATGGCTTTTCTGGCACACTCTGTGTGTCTTCTTCCATTTTCAGTCACCCTGTCCTCCCTCACTCCAGCCACCATCACTTGGCCTCATTCTCGCTCCAGATGTTAAGTGACGATGGTAACAGCAAACATACATGACTGGTTCCCAATTTTAATTTTTAAGATGCTATTAATAATAGAGTAATATTTGCTGCTGAGTTTAGGTGGGCATTTCATCCTACATAATTGGTTTTGTAGTTGATTTAATGCCTGTCGTCCTTACCATGCTGTGAGCTCCTCAAAAACAGAAACCACAACTGTCTTATTCATCCCTGTTGCAGTGATTAGAAAATACTACTATGGACTCATTAGATATTTGCTAACTTTTAAAATTATTTGGGAGGGAAAGTAAGATTAATAGACAATGTTGACATTTACAATTCTAGATGAGTTTTGATGCAGAAAAATGAACTTTAGGAGTTTTCAAACATTTCTGCTGTCTAGAGAGCTCATGTTAGGAAAATGTTGAGATTACGTAGCTGATACTTCAGCCTTTATTTCTGTTATTGTTGTTAACAGGGAATTATATCAGATTTGTTTCCTGGGGTTGTTCTTCCAAAGCCAGACTATGAGGTTTTTCTGGAAGCATTAAACAATAACATCAAAAAGATGAAACTCCAAGCAGTACCGTGGTTTATCGGGAAAATTATCCAGGTTGGTTCTTCCTATCCGTTGGGAGTGTGCCTTTTTACTGTCTGCTGGAGTGAGGAGCTAGGAAGAGCTGGGAAAATGAAACTGGCCTGACCGCGACCAGAGGTGCCAGAGCAGAGCTGAAGATAAATGACCACTTAATTTGGTGTGCCTTTGGTTTTGTTTCTAGGAGTTGAATTTTAAAATCCAGCATTGTTCCTGTAGCTGTCTTCCTTGGTGTTTCTTTTTGAATTTGAGAATAAAGCAAAGACTCTCAGGGCATGGAACTTTGAATCAGTCAGGACTTTCTCCATTCCAAGTGGTAGAAATCCAATTCAAATTGCCTTAACAAACAGCAATTTATTTACTCACCTAACTTAAAAAGTACAAGGATGTATTGTCCTCAGGCATAGCAGAGTCCAGGTGTTTTGATAATGTCGTCAGGAATCTACCTCTCATCATTTCTGAGTGCTTCCTCCCTCTTAGTAAAACTTCATTCTTGGGTACCCACTCCTTCCTCTGGTAGCTTCAGGCTTGCAGTGTCTCAGCCCAAAAGAAAAACACTATTCTTTTCCAAGTGCTCTAGCAAAAGTATGAGAGTTAGCTTTGAATGGTTCTGGTGGAATTACACGGCCATCTCTGAGCCAATTAGAGAGAAGAACTGGACCAGAATCAAGTAGAGACAGAGTCGCTCCACCCAAGTCAGCCCCATCCCACAGGTGCTGGCTCCTCAGGGAAAATCAGAGTGCTTTCATCAAATGACAATAGAAAGGACATTGGGCAGGGAACCACAAATCTTCTAGAGTTCTGCTCCTGGACAAACTCCATGAAGCTTCCTGGAACTTCCCTTTTTAGGATTCCTGGGCTGGGGATATAGCTCAGCAGCGTAAGTGCCTGCCTAGCAAGCACAAGTCCAGAGTTTGATCCCCAGTACAAAAAAAAGAGGGATTCTTCTCTATGAAAAGATAGATAAATTAAATGAAATAGGCCCCAAGTGTACAGTACTTTCTTTACAGATCCACAGGCCATTTGATCTACCCTTTAAAAGGACACTTGGTCCCAAGGGGAAAAAGATTTGGGATTAATACAGACCTAGGTTCAAGTCTTATGCCCATAAGTATTTTGCTGTGAGATTTGGGGTTATCACTTTATCATCTCAGTTTCCACCTCCACAAACTGTAGGGCGTAAAACCTTACCCATAATTTTAAGAGGCATGGAAAATGCTAGATACAGTCCTTGATGCTAGCCCATCATCACCCCTCGTGTCCTCAGTCGCAGCAGCAGCAGCAGCAGCAGCAGCAGCAGCATTGCTGTTTCACAAAGTCATCCTGTCAGTTGGAGCAAAGGTCCAGGTTGAGCCCAGCTCCCCAGATTCTGAGATCAGACTGCCTTGTGGTAAAAATAATACGTACCCAAGTGAGCTAGTTTGTAATATTCTTCATTTAACCTAATGCTGAATCCAAGTTTATTTGCTGAATTTTGTAAACTACTCTAGCTAGACATGAGCTTTTATTTCCAATGTTATTAAATATTTTAAGCATTCAGAAAAATTGAACAAATTAAAAAGAATATCTGTACGTATCTACCACCTAGATTTTTTAAAAAATTAGCATTTTATAATATTTGTTTTATCACTTTCTTATCCATCCACCCATCTACCCATCCACCCATCTACTCACACATCCACTCAACGATTTGTCCACTCACTCATCCATTCATCTAGCCATCCCTCTTTTAAATGTGGTGTAAAAACATTTGCAGACCCACAGATAAACTTTTATATAGGTTGGCTCCAATTTTCTTTTTTTTTTTTTCAATTTTCTAATATTTTTTAAAACAAGATACCTGAAACTTCCTGTCCTTTCGTGTTCTCGTGTTTCGATAGCCCACGTCAGGATGTGAAAGGAGGAAGTTGACAGGCTGTCGAGTTAGGGTTGCCTTCCTCTCATTTCTGACATGACAACTCCATTCACCCTATTCAACTTGAAACACCTTTCCAACCTTGACGGTTGGGGACTTGTTCCTCTTTCTGTGCTGTTTCTAGCACCTAGAATAGTGTCCTGGGACAGAGCAGAAGCTTGACATGTTTGCTAAATGACATATGCTCCTTTTTCTATTATCCGCATGGCCACTACTTTCATTTAGATCCTCCTTGTTGCTCACGTACAAGGTGAAGAATAATAAGGACTTCATCTTTAAAGGTTTGTTTCTCAGAAGGACTCGCAACTCAAAGACAGGGCATAAAGTTTCACATAAATATAAATGACCAAAGCATTTGTTTCAGCTATTATAGGCTACTTATCACGGACAAGAGGAACAATCAGAACGTTCATGCAGTGGGCTTCCATGTGGCTCGATTCTCAAAGGTAGCAGCTAACATTATGTGGACTATTGTTAATATCCTTCAGAAAGGAGCCTGATTTAGAAAATGCATTTTCATCTACTGAGAGTTCCAATCAAGGCAGAATAGCAAGTTTAGACCTCTAGAGTAGAAATTTCCAATAAAAATACAGTTCTAAAATGATCACTTTTTTTTTCCTTTTAAAGAGCAAACAGTATTGTAAGAAATTGTTACGAATCATAGTTTTATTCTACCGCAGAGCACGAGAAGTAACTCCTGCCTGGTTTCTCTGGTACTAGCAATCTGGTCTCTTTCCATCTCCTTCTTGTCTGCCTTTCTAACCTCTAATGACTGTCATTCTCCGCGTAATTCTAAAGCGATCTTGGAAATGATCAATGTTTGAGGACATGAAAATGCTAATCACAAATACCCATATTTGATTGTTACACACTGAGTATGTTTACTAAGTACCATGTCATACCCATAAATACGTACAAATATTATGTACCTGCTAAAAAGTTTTAAAAAGAAAATGGCAATGGTGTATTGAAAAACAGGAAACGCTGAAGGAGACTCCCATTTCAAAATCCCCCATCACTGAGGAGCCTGGTAAGCCTCTTAACCTCTCTCAGGCTCCGTGTCTACCTGTGGAAGGTGGCTCATGATACCTAGCACATGCAGTGACAGCCACTTAGTACTTAGCACTTAGATGGGTGAAGAAAAGTGGCATCTCCCTCCCCTTAAATCATCTGAGGCACACTCATGTTTATTTATACAAGAGTTATTAAAGAATAGCTCACTAAAGGATAAAGTCACCAAAGCTCTGTGTCAGAATTGCATTGCAGCCCCTCACTCATCACTGACTTCTAGCTTGCAGTATGGAGAGCTTTGCAGTGGTGAACTTCTGTGATGTCTCTCCCCAGATCTATGAGATGATGCTGGTACGACATGGCTATATGATTGTCGGCGACCCCATGGGAGGCAAGACATCTGCTTATAAAGTGTTAGCTGCAGCGCTGGGCGATTTACATGCAGGTAAAGCTCCCATCCCTGGCTTCCAGGGAGGACAGGACTTCTAGCCCAGTTGGCGGGCTCCAGGCTGTGGGTTGTGCCAGCTCTGGATCATGATGTCAGAACCAGAAACAGAATCGGCACAGTTATCTCTGCAGGCAGACAGTAAAGGGAGGGGCGACAAAGGGTTTCTAACAAGGTGCTAATGTGCATGTCATTAAGGCTGGAGGAAATTCTCAAATGCTAAACAGAGGTTTCTACAAGAGTTCCCCAGTGAGAAAGAAATTCCTATCATTGTCCTAAATAAAATTAGTCCAGAAGCAAACCATGGCATGATTCCTTCCCTCCCCACTCCTCTCCCCTTCCCTTCCTTCTCCTTTCTTTCTTTTTTTTTCTTTTTTTTAAATGTATTTAGGACAGAGTCTACAGGGTCTGCAGAGTCTTACTACATAGATCTGACTCGTAGTGATTCTCCTGTTTTCAGCCTCCCTAGTGCTGGGATTACAGGTGTATGCCACCATACCTAGTCTTCATCACTGTCTCAGCATGCCCCAGGGGTGAGGCTGCGGGGTGAGGTATTGCACCCCGCTCCTCTGCTATCCTTTCATTTGCTTCCCGCAACCCATTTTTCTCTTCAGTTTTCCTTTCTTCCCTTTGCTTTCTTGTCCCTTTTCTTCTTTCCCTGCCTCTCTTCCTTCTTTCCTTTTAAGGTTGCAGATAAGAATTCATACTTTTAAATCAGACTCAACTTTAGACAAATGACTAGAATTCCCATATCCTTTGCTTTCCCAGTGGTAAATTGGGATTGTTGTGAGAATTAAATGAGATCATGCAGGTTAAATAACCTAGCATGGCACACGCCCGACAAATAGAAGCTGAGTTTATAGCCAAAGAAACAGTTTTGTGATTTCTTATTTGCTTGTTTATTTCAGTATGATGTACAAACCTGTAGTTTTGAAAAACAAGCCTATTTACATAATCACTTCAAGTATTTTATTTAAAATTGTTTTCTAAAGACAACAATATGCAATATATTAATTATTGTAACTGTGCTACTAACCTGCTTTGAAACTGTCTATTTCTTTGAAACTGCTATTTCTTTCTCAATAAAATTAAAAGTAAATAAATAAAATTATTTTCTAATGACATTTACTTATTCAATTGCCCTTGAATTTTTTTAGGTTTTGTTTTGGGGGCTAACAATCTTTTTTTATTTTATTTTATTTTACTTATTCAATTGCCCTTGAATTTTTTTAGGTTTTGTTTTGGGGGCTAACAATCTTTTTTTATTTTATTTTATTTTATTTTATTTATTTTATTCTTTCAGTTGTTTATTTGTTGCTATTTTGAAATTACACAAACAGTTCAGGGACATACATTGCAAAAGCTCAGACAACACCAAAGTAAAAACTGAAGGTATTTGTTTAGCATATTTTTCAAATCCTACCGTCATCCCTAGAGGTTGCCACTGCTATGACTCTGTGTGGTGGATTAACTAATGGTCAACTTGTGACACCCTGTTGAGCTGAATCAGCACAGTGCTGGGTGAGGAAGGCCCACCTGAGGATTGTTGCCAACCGCATAAAAGGGGAACTGGAGGAGGAGGGAGGTGGTGTGCTGCTGAGTTTCCTGGAGAAGCTTGTCCTGCTGCTTTTCCTAATATGCACTAAGTAGTTATCAGAGAAGCTCAAGTTCTTGCTGCCTCTAAGGATAGCTGTGGCTCTTTTCTAGGGCACTCTGGTACTTACATTGAGCATCAATTCCTGGTACCAGTGCAGACTCACTCAGCCTGGTGGCACAGATCTTTCATCTCACTGGTGCAGTTGGGGGCTAACGATCTTAATAGCATTTCAAATTGAAGTATGAAATAATTTTGGTATTTGAACACACTTGAAGGAATTAAACGAAGAAAAGGAAAGCCAAATCACTGCCAGAATTCTGCAGCAGTCATTCTTTACTTAGTACATGGCTCATGTACTCCAACCTTTTCTAGCTTTAGAGAATCACAATAAGTGTCATTTTTGTTGTTAAACATGGTGCTGTGCCACCCATCAACCCAAATATATGCTTATCAAAGGACAAAGGACACTTATGGATCAGTTAAGAGAAGGATTTCAAGGGCTAAACTTCAAATAGAGAAAATAGCTATCATTTTCCAGAATCATTTTACCCATCAGTGGTTTCATTCCAAATCAAAGCTAAAGTTTTTATACTGCCTGTAACAGCCAGATAGGCACAAAGGCACTGGCAAAAAGTCATCTATCCGCTTTCTTCTGGGTTTGTGTGTATTGTGTGTGCGCATGTGTGGCAGTAAGGACTAAACCAAAGGCATCATACATGCTAGCCAAGTGCTCTATCACGAGCCGCGCCTCCAGTTCAACATCTCTCTTCTTTAATGTTTGAGTTCTTTTAGGTCCTGTCAGATTTCTTTAGTCCTAGATCTAACCAGCACATTTGCCCTATTGAAAATCAGAGTCTGAAGAAAGTAAAAAACTAATGACTATAATAATCCAACAATCTAAGACATAATCTACGTGGCTACCCAGGGTCAACAGACTGAGCATGTGTTTTATAAAGACTCTCCTTGGATCACACACTAGTAAAGGCGGGTGGGTCTTTGGGATGGCCTTGTCTCTTGTCTGGCATTGGGTCTCACGGAGCCTTCATAAGTTGTGTTGGGCCTTCTCACCCAGCCAATCAGATGGACGAGTTTGCTGTGGAGTACAGGATCATCAACCCCAAGGCTATCACAATGGGGCAGCTGTATGGGTGCTTTGACCCAGTGAGCCATGAGTGGACAGACGGTGTCCTAGCCAACGCTTTTCGGGAGCAAGCGGCTTCAGCGTCTGATGACCGCAAGTGGATTGTATTTGATGGACCAGTAGATGCTGTTTGGATTGAAAATATGAACACTGTTCTGGATGATAATAAAAAGGTAGATACCAGTCCACAGACTTTTCCTGGGGGAGGGATAAACCCTTTTATTGAAATGAGTCGTTTGTAGAGTTAAGGGAAATAACTTCTTGGTTTGCAGGGCTACAGGTAGGGGAGGTAGCAGGGACCTAGGAACAAGCGACTGAATTTGTATGAACTTTATTGTTGTAAACTTGTTTCAGTGGTTTTTTTTTTTTTTCTTGGAACATACTAACTTTTACTAGGAATATAAGTTTATACTTAGAAATACAGTTTTTTTTGAGACTGGGTGTGGTGGCACCTGCCTGTAATCCCAGCTCTTGGGAGGCTGTAAACAGGTGGATCATTATGAGTTTGATCTAGTAGTGGGACCCTGAACACCCTGTAGACCCTTCTTTAAAAAATATGAAAAAAAAAAAAAAAAGAAAGAAAGAAAAAGAAAAATGGGCTCTGGTCCTTGCCTCACTTTGGGCCAGGGAGATAGCTCAGCAGAATAAGCACTTTCCTGGCAAGCGCAAGATCCTGAGTTCAATCCCTGGTACCCCCCAAAAAACACAAAAAAAGGTTTTTTGGGTTTTGCTGGTACATGTTTATAATACTCAATGTTTTTGTATTTACAATAATTATTCCCTTATATTTTCTATTAATATTAAGTAACATTATTTATGAAACTCTGGTTGATATTGGTTATGCTGAATAGAATAAAGCAATGAGTTTGGCACAAATTTAGATTTAAAAAAAAAGCAGCAGAGCTAGCAAGAAACTAGTGTGAAAATCTGCTTTAATTTGTGAAGCACTTACGATATCACGCCAGACTAAAAAATTCTCATGCGCTATCCTATTTATAAGCAGTCCTCTGAGGTAAGTAGCATCATATCCATTTCACTGATGAGGAAGTTGAGGCACAGAGAGCACACGCCTCTGAGAACACAATGTGGCAGACAGGTAGATTCAAGCCTGGTCTTTCTGCTCTGTTGCTCATGAGTGTGACTGCTAAGCTTGCTGTCTACACAAATGCAAATCGGGGCCAGGGAGATGGCTCAGCGGAATAATAGCTTCCCTGGCAAGCACAAGGGCCTAACTTCAATCCCGAGTTCCACAAAAAATAAATAAATAAATAAATAAATGCGAACCAAAAGGAAAGAACCACCAACCACCAACGAGGACTTGAGGCAGTCTCTGAGTGCTTTACACAACACCCTTCCTTCTGAAATATTCCTCTCAGAGAGTGAAAATTTTCACGTTTTGTGGTATGACACGATCAGTCTTGAGCCGGTGTTGGCAAAAACCAACTGGTACCCTGAGTAGATTTTCCGAGGCTTGCCTATGGGTTTGAGCTGTTTCTACAGATGTGCCTGCTAAACACCACGACTTCTGGTGGCCTTTCATTCCATTCCAAAAGGGAGATTCTAGTTATGTCAAAAAATGGATTTGCTCATGTGGGTCTCAAAAGGAAGACTTCCTTCTCTCTCACTTACTCTCTCGGCTTACAAATAAAGTCATATGTATTTAAGATGTACACTGTTATGTTTTAAGATACATATACGTTGTGGAATGGTTACGGCAATCAAGCCAGTCAACATATCCATCGCCTCTCGCACTTACGGCAGTTCATAATTTCCTCTGCTTAGAAGCATATTGTAATACCACAAGTCAAAAAATGCTTTTAAGCAAAAAGAAAAATATGCTTATCATCTCACGTCTTTTTCGTGAGAAACTTGAGCAAACAAATCAGCATGTGCATGTTCAGCTAAGCTCTCTATTAAACACAGAGGAAGGGACCAAAACCTTCACATTATGTTCACAGTTTTCAATTTTTCATCTAAAATTGAAATTCAGGGGCCAGGGAGATAGCTCAGTAGAATAAGCACTTGCCTGGCAAGCGCAAGGGCCTGAGTTCAATCCCTAGTTCCGCAAAAAAAAAAAAAAAAAAAAAAAAAGAAAAGAAAAGAAATTCAGTGATTTCCTGTTCCTTATCTAAGATTACAACTCACTCAAAAGCAGAAGCATTCTCCAGCCCCTCTTCTACTTTGTCTTTTTTCTAGAGCAATTTTCATTATCTTAGGTACTATATATTTTGTTTATCATCTGTCTCCTCCAGCATAATGTAAACTCCAAGAGGACAGGGTTTTTTGTCTATGTCCCTAGAACAATGCTTGGCACACAGTAGGCGGTCAAGAAATACTATGTAATTTATTCAAACCCATGTTGTCTTCACTGAACTCTTTCATTTCGAGTTGAACTTTAACCCCTGTGGCCACCCCACCCTTCACACTTGGCAGTTGTGCTTAATGAGTGGAGAGATTATCCAGATGAGTCCCAAGATGAGTCTGATCTTTGAGCCAGCTGACCTCGAGCAGGCATCCCCTGCCACAGTGAGCAGGTAAGTCAGCCTGTGCTGGGCCTTGTGGGAAGGTGTAGCCCCACTAACCCTAGCAGGAGGGAAAGTGCTAAAAATCTACAAATGTGATTAAGCCCAACCAAATCACCCACATTATTTGTTGTTCACTTAAACCTGTCATAAAATCAGGCCTTAGTTCACCCTGCTAGTGGGTGTCTAAGATCAAGCAAAAGTCTGACATTAGCCCCTAAATTAGAACCTTTACTCGCCTGTGACCCAGCTCTTCAGTATATGTCCAAAAGACTTAGCTCTGAGCAGTCGTAGGCCTGTAAAGAATATTCTTGGAGGCATGACTCACAGAAAGCAGTTAAAAATAGCCTAAATGCCTATTTAAACAGGTGTTAATTAATAAAGTGTAATGTAGTTAGATTTTATAATAGTTACATTCTTTAGGCAAAACGAATGAACTACACTCACAACTGTATGGATAAATTTTAGTAAATATATTAAGGATTAAATTTTTATGTGTAAAAGTAAGCATAAAATACTCCCTACAGCATGAGCCCTCCTTTTATCCGTCTGGGGTGGTCATCCTCTTCGACCAAGCGTGCAGCTTCGGGAGGGATGCACATGGATCTTTGAGGGAGGGAGAGAACACCCGCCTAGCCAGCCAGATTAGCCGAATCAACACTGGCAATCAGTGGGGCGACAGATGTCACAACCAGACTGCCCTCATATCCAAGAAACCTCCTTTCAAATTGTTGACAATAACCAGAATTAAAATGTAGACAAAAGGGCTGGCGAGATATCTCAGCAGACTAATCACCTGCTTAGCAAGTGTAGAGACCAGGGTTTGACCCCGTCACTACCATGCCCCAGGTGTGCTGAGTCCGTCACTGAGTCCAGGCGTGGTGGCACATGCCTGTAATCCCAGCCCTGGGGAGGCTGAAAACAGGAGCATCACTAGAAGTCGGAGCTGCATGGTGAGACCTTGTACCAAATACATAGTAAAATAAACAAATAAATAAAATAAAATGTAGATAAATTTTGGGAACATATAAAATACTATAAAACTGCATAAGCAGAAAAGAAATCAAGATTCAAACTGTTGTATTTCAGGTGGGAAACCCAGAGGGGTAGGATAAGGGACTTTATATGGTAAGATGAAGGCTATTGTCAAGGTCTATTAGGGCCTAAAGCAGTATATTACATACAGTAAATGTCACCTGGTATTAGCACCAATAAAACAGCACTGAAACCGATTGTTTGTACTTCCCAGATGTGGGATGATCTACATGGAGCCTCACCAGCTAGGCTGGAGGCCCCTGAAAGATTCCTACACGGACACCCTGCCATCCAGCCTCACCGAGGAGCACAGGGAACTGGTGAGTGCTGGCCCTTCTCCTTCCCTACCTCCCTCCTCATGTCAGAGACTTTGTAGGGATATCTTCTTTGCAATTCCAGGAGGCAAGAAGGGCCAGGGAGTTCCTGCCAATATATATATATATATATATATATATATATATATATATATATATAAAGTAAAACAGGCAGCACTAAAATAAATAAAAGTAGAAAAATTAGTAAAGTAATTTGTTTGTTTGTTTGTTTTGTTTTTTAGGGAAGGGTCTACAGGTTGTTCAGAGTCTCACTACTAGATCGGACTCGTGGTGATCCGCCTGTTTACAGCCTCCCAAGAACTAGGATTACAGGGGCACACCACCGCGCCCAGTCTCAATTGTTGTCTTAGCATGCCCTAGGGGCAGGGCCAGCACAGCAGGCCTGGGGATCAAACCCCCGATCCCTAAGCCTGCTTGCAGGTGCTTTAATCTGCTGAGCTATTTGGCTGGCCCTAGTCAAGTAATTTTTTAAAAATGAAATTGGGTAAGGAGCAGAAACATAAATCATTGTGTAGCTAGCTAAACATATCTATCACACATATGGTGAATTACTGAAAATGAGCCCTGAATTTAGCTCTGCACTTCCTATGGCCATTTTGTGCAGGGATCTTGTCATACAGATCTCTAACAGTCATTTGTAAATCAGTTGTTTGGGATACTTTCAGTATTCTTTTTTATAAAATTGAAGTCAGATCTGGTAGCTGGCTCCTAATACTATTTCATAATCCTGTACCCGGAGTACTTCCAGGCCTCGGAGTGTCCAGCTCTGGGCAGCGGAGAGCAGGGGAGAAACCTGAGCCAACATGGCTGTGAGCCGCACAGTCTCGGAGCCCCTGAGGAGGCGGAGGGGCAGGGTCCTGGGCGATTCTCGGCTTCCCCGGGGCCCTGCACTGGGAAGACATCACTCTGCTGGCCTCTCAGCCACTAGAGGGGACCAGACTCTCAGTCCAGCTCCCTTTTTGATAGTGTCTGTAGCTCTCATGTGGCTTTCTATTCTCAGGTCAATGACATGTTCATGTGGCTTGTCCAGCCCTGCCTGGAATTCATTCGTCTTCATTGTAAATTTGTGGTCCAGACGTCCCCTATCCACCTTGCCTTCTCAATGATGAGACTGTACTCCTCTCTGCTTGGTAAGCAAAACCTGCAATGTGCTGGCTGTGCCTTGGCTCCTCTGCTCTCCCCCTCGTTTGTCTCCATTGGGTTATAATAGGACCGACTACAGTATTTGACCAAGAACAAGCAGTCCTTTGAGTTGTAGATAATGGTGTATGATGGGAAGAGCATATCTATGTTGTCTTGGTTCGATGCTTTATGTCACCTGTCCCATCCCTCCTCAGTCTAGACTTCCTCATCCCCACAATAGGAGGAATAGGTCCAGTCTCAATTTTCCTCACAGGAATATCCTAGAGGGAGATGAATTTAGATGATATATGTGAATGTATCTCAGAAAAATATTGTAAAAGTTGTATAGAAAATTTTTCCATGCTAAAAAAATTTATATTGCAACACTTTGAATCCACAAAACACATGGATACACTATGAAAGCTAGTCTTATTAATCCTCAAAACTAGTGAACTTTGTCAGGACATTTAAAATAATGGTTCTATGATTCATTTACTTCCCAAGATAGAATCATAAATTGCTATAATTATTTCACATAAATCAAATTTCACTGAATTTTACTGCAAATGACAAATATGTGTCCATATGGAGAATTTTTGTTGGATGCCATTTTTAAAAAAATAATTTTATTGAGAAACAAATAGGAATGAGATAGTTTCACAACCGATTACTAGCACATTTTCAATAATTAATACATTGCGAGCCTGAGGCGCGACTGCCATGGCGCGCAATGTGCTGTACCCCTTGTACCAGCTTGGTGGCCCCAGCTCCGCATATTTCGAACCAACTTCTTCATTAAGCTGGTGCGGCCTGGCACGGCCCAGCCTGAAGACACTGTGCAGTTCCGGATCCCCATGGAGATGACCAGGGTGCACCTCAGGAATTATCTCGAACGCATTTACAATGTGCCTGTGGCTGCTGTGCGGACGCGGGTGCAGCATGGCTCCAATCGCAAGAGGGACCATAGAAATGTGAGGATCAAGAAGCCAGATTACAAGGTGGCCTGTGTCCAGCTGGCCCACGGTCAGACCTGCACTTTTCCAGACCTGTTTCCCGAGACCGATAAGGAGCAGAGCGAGGAGGGCGACATCCTGGATGATGTGAATCACAGCAAGAGCAAAGACGTCCGACGAGGCGGTGTCTCAGACTGGTTTGGTCCGTGACAGCCACAGGCAGATACACATGGACACGGGCCTCAGTGGCTAGAGCAGTTCTGATAATCCAAATAAAATCTCTGCCCTGGGAAAAAGAAAAAAAAATAATACATTGCATATTGTTGTCTTAGTGGTTATTCATTGTGCAAGATGCAGACATGATATCCTGTCTCACTCTCCGAACACTCTCCAGTCATTGAATTAAGAGAATGCAGCTGTATATCTCTCCTATTTTGAATATACAGACACAAAATGGTCATTCATTTTATTCCCCTTTTTTGGTTAGTTTTGTCAGAGAAGGGCATTCCAGAAAATAGATTTTAGTATAGATTTTAAAAGCAATGAAAGGAGGCAAGAAGAACCTCTATGAACACAAAGTAGTCCACGACTTAGTACGTTTCACGACAGTGATAATGTCATCAAAAGATGGTAGGTTAGTATCTTCAGAAGTCAGTTTAGAATTTGCACAAGAAAAACCTGACCAACAGAAGTTCACTAAAATACCTACAGAAGTTTGATCTTCAACAAGGAACATTACTCCAAATAGATGGTCTGAAGTGAGAAAATAAAATGAAAAACATAATTACATTTAAAGTATTGTTTGCATAAAATAATTGTAATAAGTTTATAAATAATTGTAAGCAAATATTGTCATACAGTATTTCCAACATTGATGTGGAAATTCCAAGTTAAAAAATAAAACAAAACAAAACAAAACAAAACAACAACTAAGGGCCAGTCTGATAGCTCAGCAGACTAAAATGCCTGCTCAGGCAGAGTGCAGAGGCCAGGGTTCAATCCCTGGTGTGCCATGCAGGCCCTGCCCTCCGAGACAGCGACTGAGCCTGGGCATGGGGGCGCACGCCTGTAATCCCAGCGTTTAGGAGGCTGAAAAACAGGAGCATCACTATGAGTCCAATTATGTAGTAAGACCCTGTAGACCCTGTACTAAATGCAAAAAAGAAAAAAAAAACTTAATAAATATTCCCCTATGTTTACAGGGAGACAGGTACAGAGGTGCTCATTAAAGGATTTCTTATAACAGCAACATCTTTGGAAATAATAAATGTTCATTACATTAGAAAAAGCTTACGTAAGATACAATCAATATTGCTTGATCAACTCTGCATGCCTATATCTTGTGATCTGAGCAACTACTTTAAAGACAATGATGTGCAAGCTGGGCATGGTGGGGGCACACACCTGTAATCCCAGCACTCAGGAGGCTGAGGCAGGAGGATCCCTGTGAGTTTGAGATCGTCTGGACTACCAAGTGAGCTAGAGGCCAGCCTGCACTGCATAGTGAGACTCTGTTTCAAAAAGACAACAACAACAACAACAATAAAATGCAAGGGCCAGAAAGATAGCTCAGCTGACTAAGTGCCTGGGGACAACATGCTGCACCGCCTGAAACCAGGAACGCTGAGCCAGCCACCAAGTCTGGTTGTGGCCGCTCATGCCTGTAATCGCAGCACTGGGGAGGCTGAGACAGGAGGATCACTATGAGTCCAAGCTGTATAGTAACATCCTGTGCCAAATACATAAGAAAAAAGTGCAACAACCGTTGTTAATTTCCGATTATTTTGTTTTGAAATGCTGTATCATTGTTTTATTTTTTCTCTTTAAAATAAAAAAATGAAAAAATCAACTATAATTTCTTAGTAGTCTGGACTGTACTGTTATTATATTTCAGTACTGTTAAAATTCTTTAAAAGATCCACATTCCAATCTCATAAAATAGTCAATATTAAAAGAACACATTGTTTACATCTCTATTTGGTTAAGCTAATTAAAAATCTCAAATTTGCTTATTTTAACATTTACTGAAGCTTGTAAGTTGAATATTTCCCAATTTATTTAGGAATTTATCTATTTTTTTACTACTGTATGTTGTTTTATTTTTTATTTTAATGTTTTAATAGATTGCAAATTGAAAATAAATTATTTACAAACAAATGAATATAACAATAAAATTATCCAAAATAAAAATGAAGAAAGAATTTACAGATCAGTCATAATAGTTCACTGTGTCAAAACCAAGAAACTTATATTCATATAATTAGAGAATTCTTAAAGTAGAAAGGAGTAGGCAATAAATATTTAAAGATTTAAAATTTCTGAATTTAGTTCAACTTATAATACCGCATTTCCAAGAAAAATGAACCTTTTGCACAAGAA